CCACAGGCTGACAGTGCGATAATAAAAAGTTCTTTGTCCAGATTTAGTTTTGTATAATGGTATGTGCTACATTTCCTTGGATGCTGACAAGGAGAATTTGTTTAGCAATCAAGACCTTCTCTACTTGGTGATCATTTCCTTCATTCTCATGACCTTAATATGTGATTCAGGGATGATATTGTGAGGAGAAAGTAGATGTTGGTCACTCTTAGGGATCACAGGGTTAAAAAGCTTGTGCTGTAAAAAAATTGTTGGTTTTGGCCTGGTTAATTTTTTTGTTTTTCTGGACACACATTGACCCTTCAACCCCCAAGAGTGACTAGGATCTAATTTCTCCTTACAATATCACCCCTGAATCAAACAGTAAAGTTGTGAGAATGAAGGAAATGATCACCAACCAAAGAAGCTCTAAATTCTCCATGTCAGCAGGGAGAATATGCATTCTGATGTTAGGTAGTAAAGTGTTAAGATTTTTTACCATTCTTGTGTTTAGCAAGCTTGATATAATCCTTGCTCAGTTCACTTGTTGGATCAACATTCAGCAGATCTTCAAGAACTGCACATAGTTCTTCCTTACTGGCACATTCATTCTTCAGAAAATAATATAAGTACCTATTAAAAATGAAAAGTGAAAACATTGAAAATTATTACTACATGGATTCATGCAATAAGACATCCAAATACTCTACTTACTTACCTCTGGGTAAGTAAGTAGGTAAGTAACAACTTAAATTGGAGAGGGTAACACATGACAGTGTAAATGATAAACTAGTGGTCCTCTGTGCTAAAGATTCAACCAAGTAATCGTAAAATAACAAAGAAGAGTGAAGAGTATTAATATCAATCACAAAACATTTATCATCTACAGTTCTAAATATATACAAAAATTAGTTCAAAAACATATAGATATCTCTATAAAATCACCAGGAAGAATACAAAGTATGAATATTTATTGCAAAATATTTATCATCAACAGATACAGGCCTCATTTGATTTTGTGGCCTGACTATCTGGGCTTAGTGTAAAGGTGAAAAGGATTGTTGTAAGTAATGGTGTCTTACGTTTTGACAAACTGAGTGGAAATCATCGTCAGAGTCACACACCCACCAGAGTTACAACAGAAAATTGTCCAAGATGGAAAAACAGTCATGTTGCCTTGGCTGGAAATTCAGGTATCATTTGAAAGCTTTCAATGTATCAGGAAAAACCATTTTATGTAATATATTAGGAAACATTTGTGTCATAAAAACCCTTTAAATTCTAGGAGTGCCACATCAAGCAGAAAAATATCAAGGAGAAAGTTATAATATTAACAAGAAAATGTTTTGTTTCACTTAACCCTATAACTCCCAAAAATGATAAACATGTAACTTCTCCCTTTCACATAGATACATCATCCAGCAAACAGATTATGAGAATACTCAAACTTATCAGATAGAAGTTATTATCTTGATCTAACACCAAATTCTCCTATTTAATTTACAAGGAAATTGGTAGCAGCTAGAGTGGAGAATTAATAATCAGATCTTGGGAGTTAAAGGGTTAGATTTTTATCAATGTCTTACCGATGTGAATTAGGGTTTTCAGGATTTTTCTCCTTGTACTTCACTAGGATACTTTTTGCTTCATCAGCCATGTCATAATATTTTAACATCTCTACTTGTCTTGTAATAAAGATGTCCCACACACCACAATGTTCGACTAAGTTGACGAAAAAAACCAGAGCCTTCTTCCCATGAAAATCCATTTGACGTTTCAGATCAGCATAAGTCCTATTATCACCTCCTGTTAAGTCCATATCACTGTGATCATCGTTTTCTAAATATCTATTGTCAATCTTGTGTTTGCATTTCTTCCATTGAATATATGCAAAGAGTCCAGCATAAGCTTGAAGAACAGGGCTTGACATGAATGGCTTTTGAGAAAGTTTTGATGTAAGAAGTTCTTGTGCTTCTGTAATATCATTATTGTGTTTCACCAAGTACATAGCAAGATCCAGCAGAAGTTCGGTTTTAAATGGTACACAAATTACAAACATGTTTTTTAAGAATTGCATCATGTGCATGTGGCTTCCCGGACGGTTTTTCAGAACTTCGGATCCTGTCTGAAAACAAAAAAATTCACAAGATATATTTCACTGTGCGAACAAGCTAGGAAAAAGACAAAATCCTGTTTAAAACTCCTTAACATTTTAAGTGCTTAATACTATTTATCTACCCTCTTGCAAAATGAAACTGAGAGAAAAAAAACTAAGTGGGGTAGTTTAGTATTATCAGCTAAGTTGATGATGTAAACCGGCCATTGTAAAGAGTTTAAAAGCTGATATTTCATGCATTAATCCTTCATCGGTGCTCTGAAGAATTGCTAATGTTCAAAACATCAGCCTTTTAATTCTTAACAGTGGCCAATTTATGTTATCAACTCAGTTGATAATACTAATGTAAAATTACCCTGTTATACTCTCCTGCCAATGCAGCACCACAGTTTCTTTAGAAACTGTCCCCTTTATTAAAAAGTTTTTCCAATAGCTAATTCTAGCTTTTTAGAGGACAGCACAAATGGAGAATAAAATAGTGTCAAGCAAAGTTTCTTGTTTTCTGCTGTTATATTTAACTGGAGACCAGTCATTATGTGTGTGAGTGGGGGAAGGGAGGGACTGATGAAGCCCTCCCCCTCACAGACATAAAAAACTACCCCTTCCCCTATTGGATTATAACTGGTCCCTAAATTGTAAGGAAAATTTTGACAAATGGTTGAGGTTACAGATTACACAGAGTCCTACAACTTAGACAAACAATCTCCTTCAGTGTTCCAATTTTTTACTTTGCCCACTGATCCAATCACAATTCAATATTTTAGAGAGAAAAACAAAACCGTCAAAAGCATATGGTAAAAGACATGATGGATGCCTGGATGCCACAGCAAAGAGACTTGGGTCCAAGAAATGGTAACTGGTCACTAACTAGAAAAACAAATTTTTCACCCAAATTGGCCAAGTTTTTTTTCTTTTTCCAGAAAACTACTTAAAAAATGTGAGAGACACAGTGGACAAAGACTCCTGATGGTCAGTGCACTGGAATCCCTGTAGAGAGTCTGGCTGCAAGACATGGCTAGGTCATTGTGTTGTGTTCTTGGACAAGACACTTTACTCTCCCCATGCCTCTCTCCACCCAGGTGTATATATGGGTACTAGTGAACTGTCATAGACACCTGATGAAATGCTGGGGGGGTTACCCTGTAATGGGCTGGCATCCCATCCAGGGGAGTGTCCTACTTCTCCTAGTCATTTCAAGTCATTGAAACCAGGATAAACTCCAGCTGGATGGGTCACTTGGCTTGAATACAGACTTATCCTTGTAACTCCCAAGATCTCATTAGCAATCCTCTTTACTGTCTGCTAAATAATTCTCATTATGTTGGTTTGGAGAATTTGGTATTGGATCAGTTAGTAATCCCATAATTGATATTTTTCTTTATTCTCATCACTTGTCTGCATGTTATTGTATAGATATAGCCAGGAGAAATTCTACCTTGGTCACTCATGGGAATTAAAGGGTTAAACTAATATATAGAATATGTTGCAACTCACTCGCCAAAACAGCTCAGGTATTCTTCTACAAAATCCACATAATCCAACAAGACACTCCAGGGCTTCATCAAATCTATGGCTCAGTAAACAGTCCAGCAGCATTCTTGTGAGATACGTGATGTGCTGCAGGCGATATGATCTATTTTGACCTAATCCAGGAAACAGATTTTAAGTTTCCAGATTATCGAACATTGATTACAAAAGAATGCTAGAGAAAGTAAGCTACAATTTGGTTTAATTCCTTCCTTCTTTCAAAACTAAAATATTACGTTAACCATAATAATAATAATAATAATAACTTTATTCATGTGTCAATTATGAAAAATAGCAGTAATGAAACCACTAAGTAAGGACACAACAAAATAGTTTAAATAAAATAGTAAATAGCTAAAATATTGATATTTGAATAATTTACATGTAAGATATGTACAGATTCTATCTCTAAACTAGCTCACTCTCTCTACTACTCTCTAATAAATAGCTAAATATTAATATAAGAATAATTTACATGTAAAATAAGTAAATCTCTCTCTAAAACTTCTCTCTCACACACTCACTAAATCCATATATAAATAATTAATTAAATTATGTTTATAATTAAATGAGGCGAAAATTAACCATTCCCAAAGTTAAGGGGAAGAATATTAAAACCAAGAATAAAATTGCACTACAACAAAACACATTGTCTCAAAGAAGCATATTTTAAACCATACTTGGCTCGTGAAACCTCAATCAATGGGGAAAGAACCTTTCTCAACATTAACTATAATTCGCAATTCAACAAAACATCATCTTGCATTTCTCTTAAAAAATCTATCCCGTTTTCAAATCTCATTCAGCTATGGGACGTTTCTTCACTTATTATGTTTTCTTTTTTTCTAACGATGCACTTGATCAAAGCCTCCATCGTTGCAGATTTCACGGTAACCACGTGTGATTTGTGGCACAACACAAATGAATACAATGTAACAACAATTTCACGGCGAGAAAATTTTCCCAATACAAAGCTACTCAAAGAGGCAAAAAATTAGTTACACTCACCTAAAGCAAAGCTATGTTGTTTTTCTCGCCATATATGCTGGAATATACAGCCTTTAAACCACGCGTGGGGAGACTTTTTCTTGTGTCTCGACCAGTACTGTGACACGGCCGCCATATTGTTTTTTTCTACAAGTTAGTGTGCTGTGTACGCTTAAATGAAAGATACTTCACAAAATAAGGCTTGAACAGAATAAATTCTGCCTCACAATGGGAGGGAAACCGAGTAAATGAAAGCAAATAAATGAATTAAACTTATTGCTATATTTGTAAGGCACTAGGGTTAAGAATTTTGCTAAAATTTTGTAAGAAAAATTAAGCTTTTAATCCTTTTAATCCGAGAGACACTGGAAACTAGTTTTTTTAAGTTGGAAATGGCGCCCTTGCAAACTATTGATAATGCTTGGACAGATGTTTTAATATCATAAAAAGGGCGTTTCATGAAAGAAAAATAGACAGCTGAATGTCACAGCCCTGCTGTTTTCATTGGATTAGAGTTGATTTAGCTGAAAGATAGAGCTTCTTTGAATCAGACATCCCTACGGCACGGTACCTTGGGACAAGGTAAGTCATTTGAGACTATTTTGAGCGATTATCTTTGATTTTTTAGCGCGTCAGACTTGTTGATTGAGTATCAACCCTAAAATTGACGCCGCACGAATAATATTTTGAATGTAAGTCTTCTGATCCAAGCACCTTCTTCAATTTGTAAACTTAAGAGGCTAAATTGTTCGTCTGATCGTTGTGTTAGCAGTAACTTTTGCGTGTGAAATCTCTACGCAAAAGTCAAAAGGTAATATTTTCGATCCAATTTTTGCATTACTCTTTAATGAAGCTGTAACGTATACGAGTAGGCAATTCATTCAAGCGCGATTAATTTTTAAAATCTCAATTTAATGTCGTGAATATTGAATTAATTGTCGATAAACTCTTTTTTTTTCATTTAATTTAAAGCGCATTTTGATTTCAAATGTTTTTTTATGTTTTGAGAGGAGACTTAAAACACAGTGGTCAAAGTTCTTTTCTGAGAAATGTTTTAATTAAATTAAGGGAAAAAAGGATAAGATAAGAAAAGAAACATGATTTTAACTTGCAGATGTAGATGTCTTCCATTGTGAATAAAGGTGATAACTGATTGTGACCCAAAAAGTACATTTTGAAGGCTGTATACTCATCTTCCATACGTTGTTGAGAAGAAGTCCAAATAATCGTGGGAACCCTTGAGTTACCAGGACTTAATTTCTCATTACAATCAAATCAATATAATATCAAGTAGATAAGTGATGAGGATTACGTAAATGATTAATTAGGATATGATCCAATACCAAATTCTCCAAAGTAATATCATAGGATAGGGTATGGCAGACAGCAAGGAGAATTTCTAAAGAGCATCTTTCATGCTCTTCAAACTTCCAGCATAAATGATATCTTAATAAAGCCAGGCTGATGTGTTTCAAACAATAATGTGAATAGACATAAATTTATCTTAATAAATCATAGTTTTTCAGGATGGGTAAAGTAGTCGCAGTAGCAGAAGAAAAGAATCCTCGTTCAGCTGTGCAGGAGAAACCAAGCTTGTGGAATAAGTTCTTGATGTTTATGCTGTCACCAGCTGATCCATCCAATCTTGCTGTGTTGAGAATTGCATTTGGTATGTTTAGTTTTTACAGATCATATTTTATATTCTAATAATATTTTACATAACATGATTCTCAGCCAGTTAACCCTTAAATGTGAACATCAGTTTTCTTACAGTAAATGGTTTGAACCCAGTGGTAACATGTAATAGTGTAGTTTAATCGTCTGGGTGAGTGTAATCCTGAGAAGGACTGTTGTTGGTAGTGGTGACTGACGTTTTGACAACCTGAGTGGAAGTCATTATCATCTTGTTCTCCATACTGTTCTTACACATTTCCTTAAGTACTGACAAGGAGAATTTGTTCAACGATCAAGTCCTCCTTTAGGTGGTGATCATTTCTTTTATTCTCATGACCTGAATGTTTGATTAAGGGTTGACACTTTTGGGAGAAATTAGATGCTTATCACTATTCCTAATATTTGCTCAAATTACCTCCCATAGGTGACCAAGATAGAATTTCCCCCTACAATATCAATACAGTATTAAGAAGACAAGTTATTAGAATAAAGAAAAATATCAATTAGGGGATTATTAGTTGATCCAATACTAAATTGTCAGAACTAATATTATGAGAATTGTATGGCAGACAGTAAGGAGAATTACTAATGAGATCTTGTTCTCCAGGATTGCTCATGATGGTTGACATTCCTCAAGAGCGCAGCATGTTATTCATTGAGGCACACTTTGGAGGAGACACCTGCCACTTTCCACTGTTCAACTTCATCAGACCTCTACCAGTTGACTGGATGCATGTTGTTTACCTTATTATGTTCCTTGGAGCTTGTGGAATTTTCTTGGGATTTATGTTTCGTTTAAGCTGCTTGTCCTTCTTGATAACCTACTGGTATATATTCCTGCTAGAGAAGTCGCGTTGGAATAACCATTCTTATCTGTATGGATTATTTTCAGTGATGCTTCTGCTAAGCAATGCTAACTGTTACTGGTAAGTTTCAATCCTGTTTTGCTAAAATGAACAATTTGTTCATCTGTCAGCATGCCTCATGGAAATTGAAGTATGTGGAAGTTTGTGAGCAGGCTTCCTCTTTATTTGCACAGCAAGATGCAAGTTTCTCTGCCCACCTGCAGGGAGACTTGAGATAAATCAGGGAGAGTTTTGCTGCGGAATGTTGAAGCTTTGAATTGATTGACGCATAAGATACACTGGTGAATTCTGATTTGGTGGTTTTTTTTTTTTCATTCAATGATAAATGAAATGGTTACTTTTTTTAAAATATTTTCATTCCTGTTACTCATCACTTCATTTTTTTCAGGTCTGTGGATGGGATTTTAAATCCCACGATAAAGAATTCCCATGTTCCAAAGTGGAACTATGTTTTGCTGCGTTTTCAGGTAAATTAGTTTTTTTATAGCCCATGTTCTAAGGATTATAACTATACTTATCATATACAATGTATAGTTCAAGTCCAAGGTATTTACAAGCTAAACCCTTAACAGCTAAACATCAGATGAGTGTGCATATTCTCCATACTGTTCTTTATAGATATCCTAAGTTGTTAACAAGGAGAATTTATTTAATATCAGAGAGCCCCTTTAGCAGGTGATCATTTCCTTTATTCTGTTGATCTTAATGTTTTATTCAGCAGTGATAATGTAAGGAGAGATTAGCTGCTAGTCACACATAGGAGTTAAAAGGTTTTATTACACCCATTTTGAAATCACTGGTGGTCCCTGTAATCTGATTGGCTCTAATTGGTGCGATTTATTCACGAATTGCACCATTTTTTGCTTTAAATCGCATCATTTTCCCAGCAAATGAGGAGGCTACACTGAAAACAAAACAACCAATCAGATTTAAAGGCTTGTTTAAAGTAACCAATGTATTGCAGGAAAATGAAAGACAAAGAGCATCATGTGGCAAATTTTGCAACCTTCATTTCCAAAACTCTTGTTTTTCTCCCAAAAAGATGGAATTTAATTTCAAACTAGCTCAGTACTGCATCAATAAAATATTTGAACTGACCAAGTCCTGTACTTGGGCAATTTCAAAATGGATGTAATAAAGTGGTAATTGAACCTTGTACCATGCAATTTTAGTCTGAAATCATACTTGTGATTTCAAATTGAACTCACACTGTGTGCTCACTCGATTTTGAAATCACACATATGATTTCAGCCCAAATTGCACTCTACTCAGCTCAATTACCATTATAAATGGTACAAACATGGCAGATTGAAGCTCTCAAAACTAGAATATTCAAGTGAAAGCTCACTGTTTTCTTCATATGGTTTGCAAGGCACATCTGAAAAAAAAACTGTCAACGACACTGCCCCCTTTTGATAATCCCCCTGCAATAAGGTTTGTATGAACAGCAGATAGATTGCTGTGATATCTCAGCCAGGTCCTTCACTTTGACAAGCTCAGCCAAAAACTAACCCTTTTACCCCTAGAAATAATGAACTTGTAACTTTTCCCTTTGATATCCATACATTATACATCATACATTTGATATCCATCTGGCAAACATTTGATTAGAATACTCAAACTTATCACGTAAAAGTTGTTATCTCGATCTAGCGCTAAATTCTTGTTACTAATTAACAAGAAAATGTGTAGCAGCATGACGAGAGAATTAACAATCAGATCTTGGGAGTTAAAGTTGTAGTGAAACACACTCCTAAATCTTCACAAACTTTATCAACCCTTTAATTGCTAAGAGTGACTAGCATCCTATTTTTCCCAACAGTATAACCCCTGCATCACAAATATTCTCTTGATTGATAAACAAATTCTCCTCATCAGCACCTTAGGAAATGTTTGGAAAACAGTATTGAGAATATGCATACTGATGTTAGGGTGTAGAGAGTTAAAGGTTATAACAATAACCAAAAATTATGTTTTCTTAATCAGTAATGTCAAATAAATTAGACTAAGTGAAATTAGATTTGAGGATAGTAAACACATATCTTTCTGCTTGGTAGGTGTTTCTGGTGTATTTTTACGCTGGTTTGAAGAAAATTGACATGGATTGGATGACTGGGTATTCTATGACAGGTCTCTCACGCCAATGGGTGTTTGATCCATTCCGTTCTTTCCTTGATGATGAAGCTATTGACCTTTACCTTGTCCATCTCGGAGGACTGTTCTTTGACTTGTTCGAAGGCTTTCTTCTAATTTTCGACAAGACACGCCCCATTGGAATCTTCTTTGGAGCCATGTTCCATGGAATGAACTCTCAGATGTTTCACATTGGTATGTTTTCATACACCATGTTGGCCACTTTGTTCTTGTTTTGTGCTTATGACTGGCCCAAGAAGCTCTTTTCGTGCATGCCCACCTTCATGAACATGATTTTACCTTCAAAAGAAGAACCTCAAGTTAGTGCACATTGTGTGTATCAGGAATCAGTCAAAGGTACAGCGAACGGCAAAGAACAAAGCAGTGAACAGAAGCCTTCAAAGAAAAGCAAAACGGCAACATTTAAACAGAAGGCGTTTGTGCTCATCACTCTTGTTTATATTGGAGTCCAGCTCTTTCTTCCATATTCACACTTTGTTACAAAGGTAAGGAAAAATATGCGTCAGCATTGTTGTTGTTATGTGACTTTTCAACCCTTTCACTCCCAGTTGTGATCACCAAGCAATTTCTCCTTACAATATCCATACAATTTCAAGTAAAAAGGTAACAAGAAGAAAGAAAAACATCAGCAAGGAGATATTGCATGATTTGACTTCAAATTCTCAGAACTAGAATCACATGCAACATATGGAGATGGTATAGAGAATTCATATGTAGATTTTGGGAGTTAAAGACCTAAATGAGAGAGACCTTGAATAGTATTTTTTATGTACTGATCACCAGTTTATGATGAATTAGCTGATCGGTTTTTTCAGTTTAACCCTTTAACTCCTAGAAGTGATTAACAGGAAACTTCTCCCTATAATATCCATACATTATTCTGCAAACAGGTGATGAGAATATTCAAACTTATCAGGTAGAAGCTGCTATCTTGATCTAGCACCAAGTTCTCATAACTAATTTATAAGGAAATGTTTAGCAGCTACAGGAGAGAATTAACAATCAGATCTTGGGAGTTAAAGGGTTAAATAAAGCATTTATAATTATTATTATTATTATTATTATTATTATTATTGAATATGAAGGCGATCTTGAATACTACTTATGCAGAAGTGAAAATAAGCACTCATGCAGTGCTCTACCAACTGAGCTAAGATGCCTTGTTACTGCACAAGTGGTGTTCATTACTGCAAAGATCACTTTCCTATTCACTTCTTTATCCACAGGTCACATATATGATTTTCATATATTCATTGTCATTTGTTAGAGACCTTGCGAGCCATTTTATAAAAGTGCCAACTCTTACTTATTTTATTTCACATCATTTGATGTCAGGGTTACAATGCATGGACCCAGGGACTGTATGGATATTCATGGGACATGATGGTGCATTCCTGGAGCACTCAACATGTCAGGGTCAAAGTAGTGGACCAGGTGTCTGGAGAGGTCACCTATATAAGGCCCTCGGTAAGAATCCCAGTTTTCAAATCCTATTATAATTTTGATTATTTAAAACAGATAACTAAAGTGAAACCTCATTATTATGATAGTAATCGTGAGCGTGATCGTGAGCGTAATCGTGATCATGAGTGTGATCGTGACAACGACAATGATCGTAATTGGGGTGACCGTGACCGTGGGTGTGATCGTGACGGTGACCGTGACCGTGGTCGTTAACGTCATCGTCATTATTTTTTGTTGTTTGTAGGCGTGGTTAAGGGAACAGCGCCAGTCACGCTGGAACTCACACCCAGACATGATCAAACAATACATGACATGTATGACTGAGAAACTGACGGCTCACCAAGATCTGAACATCACCAAACCTGCCATTTATCTAGACGTGTGGCGCTCAATGAACAGACGCTTCCAACAGCGCATGGTGGATCCAAACGTGGACATGGTCACGGCACCGTGGTCACCGTTTAAACAGACGCCCTGGATACAGCCCCTGCTGACTGAACTATCTCCATGGCGGGAGAAGTTGGTTCAGATCAGGAAAGAGCTGAAGGAAAAGTCAAACTTCAGTGAAATTACCTTTGTGGCGGACTTTCCTGGTCTTCTTTTGGAGAATTTTGTGGACGAGGAGCTGAACACATCATTGACTCTGCTGCACGGTAAATTCTCAAAACGTCTTGAAAGTAATCCGGTTTGCATTTGTTTTGTGTAACCTCTCCTCCCACCTCACAATAAGTCCAGGAAACTAGCACCAACTTATCAACCAATCACACGTAGACTAGAACCAGTCACGTGTCGGCCATTGAGGTTTTTCCCGCGCTTCAGCCAGTTCGCTCATTTCTATGAACAGTTCAATTAAGTTAATTTACGTGCGCGAATTTTGCGTCATAGTGGCCCTGTCTTATTTCATTAGAACTTTAGCGCGGGAAATCTGCAAGCGGCCGGCCAAATTGACCCATTTGCGCATGCCTTACGCTCGACTTCTGCATTTGTGCAGCCAGCCATGGCATTGAAAGAAATGCGGGCGCACAAACCCAACGCGGTCAGATACTGAATCGATTTGCACTTGCTTTTAAGGTCAAGTAAAGGTGGAGTTTAACAAAACAAACCATACAGTGGAAGTAGGCGGAGAGATCTCCATTCCGTCCAATGACACACACGTGGTGTACACGGTGTCTGAAACGCCCTCGTGTTGGATGTACATATTCACTAACACGACCGAGTGGAACAACGAGACTTTAAGGAACTGGATTCTACATCCGGGTAAGTTGCTATCTAGGCTGGGAAAATTTTCAGCTCCCAGGACCACTCCTATCTTTTGTTTATTTTTCACCTTTTTTTCCTCCGACAGAAACGTCTCCTTCCCAGCAGAAGAAAATGGCTCTCAAAAACTTAACCGTGTTGGAAAACTTTCGATTATTTACTTTAGACAAGTTCTTCGTCTTTCGCCAAACCTTTTTGAATACGTATTATGCTCTGGTCCATTTGACTTTTGGGATCGAGTCCGAGTATTATGACGAAGAGGATGACGGGAATTCAAGCGAGCAGGAGACTGGGCATAAAGGAGATCAGGACGAGACTCCATCCAAGGATGATGACACAAGTTATGTGGGGGACAGTGGAGAACCACATGATCAAGGAGCCGAACACAAAGAGAGTTCACAAAGAAAAGAACAGCAGAAACAAGAGTTATGAAATATTTGCTTTAGACTTTTGGTTTTTTAGATTTTGGTTTTACGTTTGAAATGAGTTAAGACAGAAGCAAGTAACTTCATATGCTTCTGTTTATTTAAACAGTTGGCTTAAAGAGGGATAAATTAGTTAACCATATCCATAAAACGTGATCAAAATCTAGTTTTGGAGAGGATAAAATGTTCTGAGGTAGTTCTCTTTGAATTCAGAAATTTTCCCTTGAATTGATTCCTCTCTGAGGTTTTGGTTGATTTTGTTGGTAACCAGTTTACTTTCTCTTGGAGAACATGAAAATATATTTTGATTGTAATGCCTTTTTGATCTAGTCTCGTTTCTCTATATTTGATTTTGTTTGTTAGCAAGACATGTTCTCTAGAAGTTTCATTTTTAACTGAAGCCCTCCAAGGAACATATCTTTTCGTGTTGTCAAATTTCGCAGATTTTCCATTGGTCCGCCAAAATCCCCTTAAAAAAATGTCTTGCCCTTTATTGTGAGCGAAGGTACTCTGTTTGCAGTGCCAGTGGTACAATGTAGAAAGTCAGCCTTCTAACTTAGGTGCATGCAGTTCGTTCTTATGGGAAATGGTTGCCAGTTCTAGGCGTTTAGTTAGTCGGCGGTGCTTTAAATAAGTTCATTCTACCTCAATCCTTCATTAATTTTGTGCGCTTCATTTACGAACTGAAAGACTCGCAGTTGGCCCAAGATCAATTACAAGAAACGAACGTGTAATGAGCTTGGGCTGCCTGTGAACGACTGAAACAGGCGGGAGACGGTCATTTGTTTCTAATCGACCAGGTAGTCCCTAAAAAAACTTATCAATTTATGTTTTAAAATCTAGCATCTGAGTAAAGAGTGGAAAGTATGTTCAGTGAGTGCGATTTCGCGACAGCTGCCATGCGTCAAAAATCTTTAACCATCAGTAAAGTTTGTGGGTCTCAAACAATTTTCTTTTTTCTCCCTCAGCCCCTTTCCCCCTATGCTTGCTACGTCCTTCATTCCACACATCCGCCTGATCCCTCTCGACTCGTCTATTGCTTCATCCGCTTTTTACCCGCAATTTCCTCCAGATTTTAGTATTATAGGGCATTGCGTGACCCTTATTCGTGTCACGGAGCTTACGTAATTAATGCTTTGCGTAGCTGAGGGGTCTAGGCGGTTCTCACTTAATTTTTGCGACCACCATGGGTCACAAAGAGAGCGACAATGATTCGGCTGCAACTGTAGATAAAGAAGACACGCTAGAGAAGAACAGTTTAGTAAGGATAGTCGTACTTGTAAATTCGTTCTTGTTCTCGTCATGTTTTTTCATGGGTAAATCTGTTTTCCCGGTAAGTATCTGTGTGAACGTTTGCAAATGTTACTTTAGCTAGGACCTTTGATCATCTGAGAAAGCCGATTCTCTTTTACACCTCTTCCCAATCAAGCGAAGAGAAATGCTTCGTGTTACAAAAACCGGAGAACGACCGCGCGCGCTTCATCGGTTGTGGTTAGTTAACTTGCGCCGGCATAATTTTGGGCATAATGACATAGTTGAAGCATCGAAAATAATGCCGGCTTTATGACGAAACTTCTTTAAAAATTCCCTCAATGTTACAGTTTAACAAGAGATAAATTCTGAAGCCTAAGTACTGTCAACAGTTAGCCAGCTTTTCATGCTGGCACTTGAGGAATTTGATCCAGTAAATGCTGTGTCCTGAAGCCTTTTCTCTTAGCAGTTGTAGGTATGAGGGAGGGGGGGAGGGTATGAGGGGGAGGATGCAGGGCCTCTGAGAGTCATTGGGAGCAAATGTATTCAGGGGTGACATTCAGAAGCATAATGCTCAAATTTTTGAGCATAATTTATCAGACTCTTGTTGTGGCTGTTCTGAGGCACTTAGCTTTTAGGCAGCATAATAAACCCTTTCATTTTACATTTTACTGCACACAATCAACCATCTGTGAAAGCCAGATTTTTCAGGTTAATTAATATTTCCAGGCTGTAGCTACATCCCTTCAGTGCTTATCAAATAACATTTTCATTTTTTTAGTACATGGCTAGACGGCTTGGAGCAGATGTAGTTACCCTGGGTTACCTGAACACACTGTTCTCCTTTGTCCTTCTGTGTGGTGGACCTCTTTATGGGAGGTTTGGTGATGTGTTTGGCTCCCGCGCTGCACTGATGCTCTCTTTTTCTGCAGCTGTTATTGGCTTTGGTATTCAAAGCCTGGCAAATTCTGTACCAATGTTATTTTTGTCCCAAATTCCATTGGGTTTCATGCACACATTTCAGGGTTAGGAAGTTTTCTTTCCTTAATTTTTACTTTCATATTTCTTTAGAAAGCAGCTCAGATGGGCTTAACCCTTTAACTCCCAAAAATGATTAACATGTAACTTCTCCCTATAGTATCTGCACATTATCTGACAAAAAGGTAAAGAGAATATACTCAAATTTATCAGGTACGAGATATAGCTGCAAACACTAATCACTCGTATTCAAACTTTACTAGAACAAACTTCTGTTCATCGAAAATTTAACAAACTTGACATGACACATTGTTGAAGGCGCGAAATAGCATAAAATAACTTACAATGTATGAGTGAAAGTACTGGAAAACGACAATACAAAATGAATAAGGACACTTACAAGATGAATGTGACCAAACCAAAAGACGAAAAAATGAAACCCAAAGCATGATATGTTCCGATGTGTTCCGCAAACTAGAAAATTGACCAAATAAATTACGCACAAACAGAATATATATGATATGCAAATAAATATAACAAGTATAAAACTGATAACTGACAAAGGACACCAATGAAGACAAGAAACTAAACACATAACACAAAACTATGAAACAACAACAACAACAAAATAATAACACAAATTTTTGCACCTACACAAGATATTATCTTGATTGAACACCAAAAAAGAACTGTTCCTTTGGGAGCTGATTATTAAAAATGAATGCTGTCAAAGTTGTCATAGTAACCACTAGGGACCTTCCACTATACTTGGAAAATTTCTGCAAAAAATGACAAGAATCATATCCATAGCCTGCCTATATTAGCTTAGCCGAACTGTAGGTCCATGCTAGTTATGGTTGTTCAAAGCTTAAAATGTAGCTAAATTATGTATTACTAAGTGTTATTATGCTGTGGAGGGAACTTCATTTTCGGAATTACTTATGTTTAAAATGAGTGTTAAGAATTGTACATCTAAGGAGAAAAAATATGTGCCTAGACCACCCCAAAAAAATAAAGGGGTAAGTTTCTAAAGAAACTGTGGTGCTGCATCGGTGGGTGAGAGTATAGCAGGTAATTTAATGCTAACAACTGAGTTGAAAACATAAATTGGCCTCCATAAAGGGTAAAAAAGCTGATGTTTCAAGTGTTAGCCCTTCATCAGCTTTTTTACCCTTTATGGTGGCCAATTTATGTTTTAAACTCAGTTGTTAACACCCCAATAAAAGATAGATTCTGGTGACTCACAAGGTTGTTCTAAACATTTGTCAACTCACCTCTAATCAACTCTATACAAGGATACTACCTTTACACCTCCCCTCGTGATCCTTCCTATCTACTGGTAGGTTTGTCACTGATTGTAACATTTTATCTTTGTAGTAGAGCACGTGGGGATGACGTTTTTTATTCTTTGCTCTCTGGAATTACTTCACTGATCCCTCAGTCAATACTAACTCTACCTTTCAGGTCTACAGATGGTGATGACTGACACATCAGATAAAGCAGGTAAAAAAAATTTTGCAATAATTTTTCTTGACTCTAGCCTCAAAAAACTTAACTGTGAAGTACTGACTAGAGAATATTCTAACTCAAATTTTGTTTAATCCTTAGTTACCTCTAAGGTGATAATTCCTAAATCAGTTTAACTTTCCTTTTCAATAATTCAAAAATAGGTCTGCAATGTGTGCTAAAAACTGACTGAAAATTTGGATTTTGCAGGTAGAGCTGCTGCTTTGGGTAAACTTGGTCTAGCTTTCTCTCTTGGAATCATGGCTGGTCCACTCATTGGTGGCTTTGTAACAGAGAAGTTTGGTGACAATACAACTGCTTTTTTAGCTTCAATATTATCACTGGTATCTGTTTTAACAATACAGATGTTTTTACCCAAACACACAAAGTCACTGAACAAGCTAGATGCTGCAGGTGAGTGAGATTACAAAGTTTTAGTATAATTGCTGCAGTTATTATAGAGATGCATGCACTCTGATTGGTCAAGGATGGCATCGCATCTCACCATAATTGCCTTGCGTGAGGTGATTATAGCAAGGATGCTCGACTTCAAAACAGCTGCCTTGTTTCACACCTCATACTCAGTGAATATTGTTGAAAAATCCCCTTGATTTGTCACAGGGATTATTTAATTATACTTACTAGGCCTTCATAGAACCATTATTAACTGTCTGAAAACTTATTCAATGCATGTCCAATGTTTAACCTCTTATTCCCCTCCATAGATTCCAAAAGCCAAGACAAATCTATTATTACAAAAACTTATGACTTGATAAGTATACCACAAGTGTTGTACATGTTGGTGGCACAAGCAGCTTCTTTAGCGCCGGCAATATTGATCCAGGCCTTAGGTCCAGTTATAAACATGGAGTATTTCAAAATTGGACCAAAGGAAAATGGTTTGTTTCTTGCTGGGATTGGTGCAGCCTCTGCTGTATGTATTGAATTACTAATAATTATGTAATAATAATTGTAATATTATAATTATTATTATGTTGTAATAATAATATTGTATTGTATTACCAATAACTCAAAATCATCTTCGTCATCATCATTATTACTATTTTCATCATCATCATCATCATCATCAATGTGATTCTTATGATCTTAAATTTTTTTGCCATTATCCTGAATTTTAATAATACTCAGAAAAGCCCTCTAAGTGTGGTTTCAGAGGTTATTTGGCAGAGGCATCCAAATAGTATCTAGAAGGCATGGATTTGAATCCTGTCGAAGCTTGATTTTTCCAGGCTCTTTTTCTGTATTTTCCAACACTATAGATCACCTGTGAGGATATACTCCCATTATCCAAGTTAAATCTTATTTAATTGATTGTAAATTGTGATTGTAAAAACTGGTGGAACTTTTTGCTTTAGACAATGTCTCTCCTGGAGATATTTTCTCAAATAAATTTATATGTTGTTTTCTGAAATTTCAATGGTTATAACTAATTGGTAACAGGACTTTGTGTCATCCAATTCTGTCTGTAATCATACTTGTGATTAACAAATTGAACTGTTTCGCAGGAATCTGATATTGATAATCACTCATATGATTACAGACCAAATTTGACTCCACTCAGTCCTATTACTATGATAAATAATCCTTCTTCCAACCTTGCCACCATAGATAGATGCTAATTATCTCAGTCATTGTAAAATTGTATGTATTGTTTAAAATTTTTTTTTTTTTTTTTTTTTTTGGGTTTAGATGGTTCAAGGTTTTGGAATTGGTATGCTCTTAAAAAGATTTACTGAATTTTCCCTTCTAATTCTGGCTGTTCTTATTTCTGGATGTGCCTTTGTTTTGATGGTAGGTTCCCCTAGATATACATTCCTTTATTTTAATTATTTTTTTTTTTACCATGACATAAATGTTTAGACAAGTATATATTACTCCAGAGAATTTTGATAGTACCTGGTAAGGTTAGTAAAAAGTTAATTATGTGGCACTCAGACCAAACTTGTTTATTTTGAATTTGCCAACTTTTGTGACCAAAAATACACAATGTATGACTATTTCCATAGAAACAGTTTGTATTGCAAAATTCTGATTGAGTAGGATCCAATCAAGAGACAAATTTTTTTGATGGGTTAAGTATTGCTGAGTATTTTTACAAATTGTGCCTTTTTTTTGGATGAGCCCATAGGGTTAGTCAAAATACAAACAACGTGTAGAAATACTCAGCGATACTGCACACCAAAACGTCTAATAAGTTATTTATTATCCAACTGTTTTTTTTTTTTTTGCCAAGTTTTTCTGTTCATTTCTCATAAGGTGGGTGAAGCAAAGCAGATATAAAAGCGTAGCACACACAGCTGACTGGTTTAACCCTTTAACTCCCAGATCAAATTTGTAATTCTCCTTACTGTCAACCATACAATTCTTATGATGTTAGCTCAGAGAATTTAGTATTGGATCAACTAATTATCCCAAACCAAATACCATGCTAAAACTGACATTTTTTCTTATTCTCATCACTTAACTGGTTGACATGGTATTAATATTGTAGGGAGAAATTCTGATTTGGTCACCCATGGGAGTTAAAGGGTTAACAGGTTTTTTTTACAGTACAAAATAACCAACTGTACAGATAACCATACAATACCGCATGATATTTTTACTTAATCCTCTGGTTATTTGTACTCTACTAAGTGCAGTTAGCTAATAAAAACCAATATTTTCTCTCTTTTTATTGCAGTATTTTGCCAAACATAGATTTTCGTACATTGTTTCACAAGTGATCTTGGTAATAGGATTCTCCATAGCACGAACAATGACAACTTCCATGGCAACCAAAGCTGTCAGCAGACACGACACTGGGCTACTCTTAGGACTTTGTGCAACATCTGAAGCACTCATGAGAACATTAGCCCCTGGAATTGGAACTTTTATGTTGTTACATTATGGCTGGGCATCACTTGGAGCACTGGGAAGTGCTATTGAGTTTGGCATGGCTATTATACTACTGGCCAAGAAACAAATTTAAGGCCTGAATCAAATAAACATGAAAAGACAAGCTTTTTTAAACAGAACCGTCCTCCCTAAAGGATAATTTTGATTATTAACCCTTAAACTCCCATGTGTGACCAAGACAGAATTTCTCCTTACAATACCAATACCATGTCAAGTAGACAAGTGATGAGAATTATATAGAGGGTCAACTTTGTTCCCAAGGTCTCTCTTCCTAGGGAGGGGAAGAGGAGACACCCAAGGGAACAACCCTTTTAAGTGCAATGAAATAGTGGACCTCTTTATTAAAACAAAAAGGATTTCAGAAGTAACATGTAGTACTAGGCAAATTAAAGGTACAAACATATTGGAGGAAAGTATCATTTTATTAATTTATATCAAGTGACATTACTTTTATTTTACAGAAAGAAAAAAGACTGATTTTACAGATGTTGTTTGATATTATATAACAATGCTTGTGAGAAGGCAATAAATTAAAGATATGTTACAGATCCAACCAGAGTGATTCTTTTAAATTTTCAAGAGCAGAAAAATTTAACAATAAACTTGAAAATCATACAAGACATATTTTAATAGCAGGTTGGAATTTATTCCCCCAAGTTATAAAAAAAGGAATTGACAAAATATATTAAATATTTAAACTAAACATCAAAGGTGATAACTAACAGTACTTTTAATCTGATGCTATGCATAAATCAAGTATCACTGTTCAGAACACCTTTTATCATTTGATATCATAAACTTGAATTCTTTTGGTTGATTTATGGAGTTTGTGTATGATACCTGCTGTTAGGGTCAAGCAGATAAATATTAATTTCATCACTATGGTAATCATAAAGTATTACTCATAAAATTATATCAATTTATTTTTGTTTGAGAAGCTATGTTACATGCGAGTCCAACAAACACATAAATATGACAACATAAATATAACAGCAAAAAATAGTCACACCATGTTTGTAAAAGTATGCACTATTTCACAAATAATTTTCATGATGAGCTTATAACAGGAGCTGAATGAGTTAAAAATTAATGAAGAGCATTGGCACTACTGTCTAACTCAGACAAAAATATTCAGCTAACTTTGTCACATAACAGTTGTCCTTTTTAGTGGGGGGAAGGGCCTCTGACAAACACACCAAAAACTTTCTTTCAGCACAGGCATCTCATAAGGGAGCTCAAGATCATTCACTGAGCCACCATGTTTGATTTTGGTTTTGAGAGGTTGGGTTGAGGAGAGGGGACATGCAAGAAGCATTTTCTTTTTCTCCTTCCCTCCCACTCTTTTTTTCACCTGTCACCCACTCTGTTAGGAAAAGTGTCTCTGTCTCAAAACCCTTTGTGAAGAATACTGAGCGCACTGCATACTCTCTGGGACCTGGGTCAGCTCGTCCTTGTCTGGCTGACCTCATGTAAAGGCTTCATTTCCTTTAGTTTCCATACAGTCTGATCTTTTTTTTTCTTATTTTCTGGGGGGGAAGGAACAGGGCCCTTATCCCAAACAGATTTGAAAGTCTTGCCTTGTCTCATCTAAACTGGGCATGTTCAGCAACTTTAAGGTCAAGGCAGCAACAAGGTCACAAGTTGCTGTAACATTATGTCATGATTAATTCCCTGTTGTGATCGTACACACCAACTTAAACCTGCTTGTCAACATAATTTGGGGAGAAAGAAGACAGAAATTTCAACAATAATAAAAGGAACACCACATGAAGTGATCTGTTGCTACAGCCAGGCTCCTTGTTACCTCACTGTGGTTTGATGTCAAACCCCCCCCCCCCCCACCCCAACCATCAGAGTTCCACTATAAACGTCGGAGGCTATATTTAGTATTAAGGTAACTATACACTCTACCGATAAACTCTCCTGGTTGAGGAAGTAGGATTCCTGGAGTTATAACGACCTCCACTTGCCTGCAAGGCCCTTGCCTTGGGAGGCGAAGGCCTGTTTGCTGTGTTCTGGCACTTAGGAATGTGCCTCTCAGCCACTGTTGGTGCAAAGCGTCGCTGGCAGAACCTGCAGAACACATAGTCTGGGTTCTCACTAGGAGGTGGTGGAGGAAGATCTGATGCCTTGCCACCTCGCTTGATGTGTTCTTGTACCTTTTTGGCATCTCTTATGGCATTAATGAATTCCTCTGCCAAGAGAGAGATAAATTAAATAAACAATAAGAAATCATCGTTGGAAAATGAAATGACACACACTTTGTAAATCTGTGGTACAGAGCATTAATGAGGCATCACAGATCTAATAATTATTCAGCTGCTTTAAAACTCTTTCACACCTAAAATCTCCATATAGACTCCCCACACTGTTTGTCATGTATTACTTATGATTTTATATCAGGGAATTTGTTGCTTGATCAAACAATATTCCCCTTGCTGATGACTTTTCTCATTTCTCATCACCATTCTGCATTACAATGCATTGAAGTTAGGAGAAATTCACGGTTGATCACCAAACTCCTTACCATGTTTCTTTCTCCAGTTTGATTTAGTTTTGGGTGGATCAGGTGCCTTCCTAGCTCCAGGTCTGTTAAACTGAGCTGCCTCTGTCCCTTGTGTTCTCATTTTTGTAGCATCAAAAACTTTTCTTTGTTTACCAGCTTTGCGGCATATGTTTTCATGTTTTGCTAAGCGATCTGCAGCAAATGAGCGGCCGCAGTTATAACACTGAGCCAGGTTGGCTGGTTCAGATGCCTGCTCTGTTGGTTGACTCCCTATCACAGGAGAATTCCCAGTGAGGTTGTATGATGGAGATGGTGAACGAGTATTGGACATTGGCTTTAACCTTGCAGGACGTTGAGAAGAAGCTGGAGGAGTGGATTTCGTAGACTTTCCTTTGATGAAAGTCTTGTCCTTAGCCAATGGACTGATGTTGTTGTTTTGATCACTGTACCTGGTAAGGGGGCTCTGTCTGCCGTACTGACCAGTGTGGGTAGCATTCATCTCCCCTGGGTTGGTAAGAGGGGACAGTCGGCGAGCTGAACCTTTGAAGAGACACATGAGAATTTTCTTTAAGCTTGCAAAAATCATCTTTTTTTTTCATTCTCTAGAAAACTACATCAAATGACACGAACTCCTAAAGTCTCTCCTAAACCACAAACTCAAAAGGCTTGGTGAGAAATCAGAGGTAATAATAACTTTTTCCACAAGTGGTACTAATAGTGTAATATAGGCAGCTGTGCCCCAAAAGGGAGCTGTAATTACCCCTTTAACTACCAGATCAATTCTCCTTACTGTCAACCATACAATTCTTATAATGTTAGTTCAAAGAATTTAATATTGGATCAACTAATTATCCCCAAACTGATATTTTTCTTTATTCTCATCACTTATCTGGTTCACATTGTATTGAGAATGTAAGGAGAAATTCTGTCTTGGTCACCCATGGTAGTCAAAATCCAAAACATGAGAGACTGCTTGCAGCCTAAACAGACAGTATTGAGAGGTCCTATAGGCAGTAGAAGAGCACTGGTAACCAGTTTTAAATGAAACCCTGGTAAGACTAATTTTAGCACACCTACCTGACTGTCTTATTGGCACTGTCTTGCTCCCGGGTTTGCATGATCTCAGATGAATTTCTAGCCTTTCTGGTAGAAATGTCCTGCCACAGTTTCTGCAGGGAATCAGCTGTTTCTGAGCTGCTTCATATGCCATCTGGTTCCTGCGTTCGAGGTCTTCCCCCCCAGACAAACTGGGAAGTATGTTTGGTTTAACAGGAGGTGGTCTTCGCATATGCTTCGGTAATCGGCTATTTTCAAGCTCCCACTTTTTCAGACATTGTGGTTCATGAATACTGATAGATTTACTACCAAATTCTCGGCCACATATGAAACACACAACAGTTTTTGGCTTTCTGGGGGGTGGCGGGCTCCTGCCATAATCACCCCCTCCCGGCGTGCTCTGCCTTCCAGACCCAACCCTCGAAGGATCAAAGTTTTTGGACATCTTGAGAGGATTATTAGGCCGACAGCTTCTCTGATGCACTGGTAAGCGATCTGGGTTGAAAGTCCGTCCACAATTCTCGCAAGGAACAAGCTGCATCTGCGAAGCTTGGAAAGCCATGTCGTTCATGGCATCTAGTTGCGATTCTCTTTCCCTCGGGTCATTTGACAAAGCAGTGTTACCCCATCCTGTTGGTTTCTGAGGCGGCTTTCGTCGTAAATGTCTCGGTAGCTGACTGTTCTCGATCTGCCATTTTTCCAGACATTTTGGAATGTGAAGCGAGATTGACGTCGTTCCATACAAACGACCACATATGTAGCAAACGACATGAGGAGGTTTTCTAGGCGGCATACTGGGTTTGGGAGCGTGTCTCCCGATTAAGATTTCAACGCCGTCAGAGTTCCGCTAACAAGACCTCTGCCACTGGTTAAAACGGTGAGCGAGCTAAGAAAGAAACTGCAATCAAATCACTGTCACGATCGGCGGTAATAAATCAATAAGCTTACGTTGCCAGTAACTATATGGAGAAGATACGAAAATTTTTCAGCGATCTTATGAACGTGTCACTGGAATAACCAGTTCGTCTGACCCCAGAATTTTCCTCTTAGCTTTCCTCTCACATCGGCTAATCCTTGTGCGCATATTTCACATGGAATAGCAAAGGTTCGTCCGGCCATTTCTCATGAAAGGAGCATCAAAAATCCACAATGGGACATGCAATATTCACTGGTCTAAGACTATTGATGTGCAAAGTAGCTTGCTAATTTCCAAGGTAACGAATTCATGCTTTGTTTTCAGAATTTTCTAGAAGGGCTCTAACAGACAAGCTGCCCACTGTCTGAAAAACTTCATAAAAAAAGAGTCTCCTGACGTGCAATAATTATTTTTGGAGCTGTTTTTTCCTTAAATTTGTTCAAGGTAAACTACGTGATCTCTCACTACGTCGAGAGGCCATTCATTCCAGTCCACGGTCATCCTCTTTGTGCTTCACCGACTCGGAAAAAGTAGGTCTGCAATTAAACAGACAAACAATCTTTTGACCTTTTATGGCCCAGGGTCTGAATATTAAGCGGCCCCTTTGGTTGTCATTTATTTCACATGATTTGAGCCTTGAGAATATTTTGGTACAAAATACAAATACTTGATGAGCATCACCAACTGAGCTTTGTATTAAAAACAGCAGAACCAAAACCTGAAAATGAATTTTAGGTAGCTGTGTTTTCTCATTGACAGTTCTACTAAGTCTTCCACCTCCAGGTGCTATTATAAACTTCCCTACAGATAAGGTTATCAAATTTGGTGCTCAAATTAAAGTAATGTAATGGATCCACTGCACTGCATTTTAAACAGTGAGACAAGTGCTCAAAATTGCTCTTACCTTAAGACAGTCTTCACCCTTTGACTCCAAAGAGTGGCTACCATCTCATTTCCCCTTACAATATTACCCCAGAATCACACATTCAGGTCATGAAAATAAAGAAAAAGATCACCAACTTGATTGCTAAACAAATTCTCCTTATCCGCACCTTAGGAAAGGTATAGAGAATATGCATGGAAAGGATTAAAAGTAACACAAATAATTGTCACTCATGAGTTAACACAATTCAAACTGACCATTTAAATTTATTTGACCAACTATTACTAGTATGTTCTTGTTTATCGCAGTCACTGAATAAAATTCACACCAAAAAAAAAAAATTCCCAAAGTTGTGCTTTATACTACAAAACAATTCACCTTGCTCATTTTTTTTTACCAATACAATGCACACAACAAGTATTTAGTATATACACTTACTCTGTGCTGTAGGCTTTCAAATAAATTATATTTATCAGTGATTCCTAGCATCTATCAGAAGAGTAACTTTTTTCGACTACTCATAATCATGGCTCGATGCTTAAGCTGATTGGAACATTTAACACCATGAATGAGCTAAAGTTATTCTCCTCTGTCTAATAAATGAAGAGTTCACTTTTTATGACGACTCATAATCATGGCTCAATGCTTAAGCTGATTGGAACATTTAACACCATAAATGAGCTAAAGTTATTCTCCTCTGTCTAATAAATGAAGAGTTCACTTTTTATGACGACTCGTAATCATGGCTCAATGCTTAAGCTGATTGGAACATTTAACACCATGAATGAGCTAAAGTTATTCTCCTCTGTCTAATAAATGAAGAGTTCACTTTTTTTGACTACTCATCATCATGGCTCAATGCTTAAGCTCGTGGGAACATTTAACACCATGAATGAGCTAAAGTTATTCTCCTCTGTCTAATAAATGAAGAGTTCACTTTTTTTGACGACTCGTAATCATGGCTCAATGCTTAAGCTGATTGGAACATTTAACACCATGAATGAGCTAAAGTTATTCTCCTCTGTCTAATAAATGAAGAGTTCACTTTTTATGACGACTCGTAATCATGGCTCAATGCTTAAGCTGATTGGAACATTTAACACCATGAATGAGCTAAAGTTATTCTCCTCTGTCTAATAAATGGTCTTTTCCTAATGTATAATGATCTAATTGTAGGTTTGTCAATAAATAGGATAAAATAGAATTACAATAAAATTGTAAACATGCCACAATTTTTCCACTTGTTCTCCCTTCAAAAGAGTTCAGAGTTGACACAAATTAATATTAAAAAAAGGAATTTATACTTGATGTTCGGCATATTTTTTACAATTATCACCAGGAAGTAAATTAAGAAAAGTTCTACTAGAGAATCCATGATTTGAACAAGAGGAACTACAGTACAACAATTTGCCACAACAGCATGCACTGTTAGACACCTACTGTCCAATTATGCAGACATGACATAAACTCCATCCACTTACACTGTCCCACCAAAAGCATGATGCATCCCATTAGTACTCAAATCGGGCAAGTGATAACCAATCATGTTTGAGAATTTTGTTGTAGTTTTGATTAACAGAAAAGTTGGATAGGAAAAAGAAAAAAAAAAAATTAACAAAGATTATCATAACTTGCATTGGGCACTTATTAACACAACCAAGTGAGCCATTCTCTTCTTCCGCTCACTGTTTTTTTCTCTTAGCCACCTTAACCCTTTAACTCTCAAGATTTCATTTGTAATTCTCCTTACTGTCTGCCATACAATTCTCCTGATGTTAGTTTGGAGAATTTGGAATTGGATCAACCAATAAGCCCCTTATTGATATTTTTCTTCATTCTCATCACTTGTCTGCTTGATATTGCACTACTGGTGTAAGGAGAAATTCTGTCTTGGTCACTAGTGGGACTTAAAGGGTTAAGGCCAATTTGTTTTTGGCCATTACATTTGGTGCTCTACCTGTAATCTTCACACGTCCACTGTCAAGATTTAAATATGAATTGTCCAAAATATTTCCTTTATATTTTCAGGGTTGTCATTAGGAAATGGGATAGATGTAAAATCTGAACTGACTAAAAGGCTCAATTGAACAATGCTTGCATAGCAAACATGGTATGTCACAAAGCAGAGGAGGGGGGGTTATTTAGTATTATCAAATGAGTGGATAATGTAAATTGGCCACCGTGAAGAGATTCAAAGCTGATATTTTAAGCAATAGTGCTTTGTCAGAGCCAATGGTGGCCAATTTATGTTATCAACTCAGTTGATAAGACTAAATTACCTTGTTATAATCTCCCACTGATGCAGCAACACAGTTTCTTAAGAAACTTACCCCCCCCTTACTTCTAGGGGGGTCTGGTTGCACCCTCTTCCTGGAAAAAAATTGCAATTTCAAACTCTCCCAAGACGTGGGACATGATTATGTCCATACTGGGACACAACTGACAGCTAGCATTCCACCGCCTACTGTTTTCTAATGACAACTCTGTATGTTTTATAATTTTTAGCTCTATGAATTTGGTTGTTACATCAAACAATATTACCTATTTGATATTTTCACTCTTAGCTTCACCTTTCTTCTCAAAAGTGTAGTGATATTTTTAGCTAAAAATTTCTCTTTTAACTCGTGGTGATTGAGTAGGTTAAATCCTGTACAAAAACAGTTACATACAGCTCCGATTTTCTTATGATCTTGGTAGCGAAGAACTTTTCCTGTCTCCTGCTTTAGCATCAGAACTTTCTTTGCCAACTTCTTGAAACTTATTTTCCTTCTTGTTAAACTCAAGTTCTATGTAAGCAGCTGGCTTGTTGCGCTCTCTGCCAGCTCTGTGGGGCACTTGTGGGGAACGTGATGCATCACTTCTACCACGTGGGCGATCATTCTGGGGAAAGTTTAGCTCGAGATAGTTGACAGTGTCTCCCTTATGAAAATCTTTAGCAGAATGAATGTCTGGCAAGACAGTTGGTAGTGAGTGTCTTTTCTTTACCTCATCCCTATGTATTTTCTGATCATTGGACTCCCGTGGACTATCAGAGCCACCATCTTGTGAAGAATTGCTGCTGTCATCATTTCCCTTAGCTTTAAGAGAATCCAAGTCTATTTCGGCGTATTCTGTGTGACCTGTTGAGTGTGTGTCGCAGTAACGGTAATCAGAGAATGGTTTCACTGTGCAAACAACTAGCTCTGGGCTTCCCTTGATTATTTCACTTATCTCCGAAACAGAGCGGCCGCCAACTTCAATCCCATTGATATCAAGGATTTGGTCTCCTGTGTTAAGGGAGATGAAATAGAGTTAAATACAAGCAGAATAAAAAAGAAGGTAAATTTTGAGCTACGTTTTAAGACACTTTTGTTGGGATACCTGTCTCTTCTCTAGGTGCTACACATTTCCGTGTAATTTCATTTGAAGGATTTGGTGTTAGATCAACAGAACAACTTCTACCTGATAAGTTTGAGTATTCTGATTGACTGTTTGTGAGAAAATGGATGAATATTAAAGGGAGAAAATAGATTTTAATCACTTCTGGGAGTTTAAGGGAGAAAATAGGTAAAATTAATTTAATTTGTCACGAGATGACAACCTGAGATGATAACCAGAGATGTCAACCTTTAAAATATGAAATGTAGGGATGGTTACCACTTTTGATAACATCCCTCCCCCATTAATTTCTTGAGCCCTTCTTCCTACACTCTCTCTGCAAAATGGAGTTTCTAAAATTAACACCATACTCCAAAATTGATGAAGGAAAATTACCAAATTTATTTGACCTCCCCTTTCAAAAAAAAAATTATCTAAATTTATTGTTATTTAAGAAATTTGTCAGGAAACGAAGCAGGAGAGCAAGAGATTAATTTAGTATCTGCTAGATTTGACAGGCATAAAAACCTGTTATGTATTCATATCTAACAAATTGATGGTTTTTTAATTGCTACATGCCAAACTATTAGGAACAAAATGTCCTAATATGACAGAAACCAATTTAAAAAAACAAGCACAATTTGACAATAATATTTTGAAGTACAGCAAACATCACCATTATGAATTATATCTCAAGAAACTGAAAGTTCTAGAATTGTTATCAGATGATTCCTTCTAACAAAAAAAAAACCGCCTTTGTTCCTTGTTGAGTCATGCATTTCACTTCCTCTCTAATTGTTTAAAAATGAGTCGAAAATCTTTTAAATTTAACCTGAAACTCGAAAGAGCAATTAAAATTGCGGTATCAGCGGAGGTAAGGGAGTTTGAATTTATGCCATGTTGAACAAATAAATGTAATATCATATCTTGAAAAACGAATTTTAGTTCATAATAAGTTATTGGACTCATGCAGATGTTCTGACGTAAAAAATGTAATAAAGGCGATGCAATTTCTTCCCTTTAGAAAGTAAAAATGGGAAAAGGTGAACTTCCCTTAAAAAAACAGCGATTTTTTAAATAAAATTCCACTTTTTTTACTACACTAAACCGTTATCAATATCTTCTAGTCACAAAAGCCGCTGAAGATTTGGTCGAATTTTTTTTTCCTTCGACGACAAAACAATGGATATTGATAAATGATGCAAACAGCTCGCGTGAATTTCGTGCAGTACGTCAATTTGCATACGGAAATTAGCAGGTCTTGAACAGATGTAAAGTCGCTTTATGTCGCTTCTGAATAAGATATTAAAAGATTTACTAATTAGTCGAAAAGAACAATACCTAAAATTCGTCTAAATCTTAACTCTTGTGAGATACAGGCTGTAGTGAACTAAAACTGACAGAAAACCACGTTAGATGGTAAATTGTTGCCACTTTGAAAACTTACTGTGGTGACACGGAACAAAAATTTAAACAATTTAACAAAATTCTGTTCCAAATAAACAAAACACCTGTACTCCCTAAGAGTGATGTGGTCCTAATACATGGAATAAATTTAATTCTGTTCATGAATTTTGTACGTTTTGTTCATCGCACAAAATTTGTGGATATTAACACGGATGTCTTCGTAAATTTTAACCGCAAGGGCAATTTATGTTGCTAGGATTAATTTATCTATGAAATTAGGCCCCACATTCAACAGAAAATTAGCGCTTTCTTGGTGTTTATCTGCCGCCAATTCTCAAGAGATCAGATGCTATCCGAATAAACAGTAGACGGCATGAAAAGAAACATGACATTACATCCTCCTGCAGAAGATTATGTTCTAAAGTTCAGGTTACTAGTAAACATCACTGATCAAACTTTTAATTAAAACATAGAAGCTTTACATACCCGGCCTTAGGATGCCAGAAGTCGAAACAGGCCCATCCTCGAGAATTCTGTTGACAAGGATAACTCCACCGACATTTTTAATTGTACAACCGAGCCCCTGTCCTTTCTCTCTCTGGATGGTTATCCGTTTGAGTCCTCCAGTTAGTTTGGTGCTTTTTCTTCTTATTGGATCGTTTTCCTCTTCGTTGAGCTCGTTCTCTTTAGCTATCTGTACTGATCGCATCCACATTTCTCTGTCCAGCTCAGAACTACAACTGAAGCTGAAGAAAGGCTTCCCCTCTACGATCAAATTAAAACAGTGTTTGCGCTTCTTACTCTCGCACTTCTCTATGGATTCAATGTCCATCAGGAAGATCCTTGCTTCCGCAGTTCGTCCTCTTTTCTGGTCGTCTTCCTTCTTGAAAGTGCACAGCATCTGTCGGTTCAAAACTACAAACCGAGGACGCCATTGCTTCAGCAAGCTGGTCTTTTTATGAAGGATCCCCTCTTTGATGACTCTTTTCTTCATCTTCATATTCCTTTCTGCCATGATACTGTTTTGCCGACCAATTTATCAAACTCTAATCGGACAAAACAACGCTAAGAATGCTAGCCATTCTTGGCAATGAAGGTGTTTAGCAGCTTTGCTCTTGCTATATCATACCAGCTGTTACGCGCCCTCGGAGCTACCCACGTAATCCTTCACCTCTTCATTTGACATTTAAGGCACTTGGACTCGTGATACACGTACTTCGAATTAGGTTTGGCCTCCTTACTGCGTACCGCCAGAAAATTCTTAACAACAAACTTGTTTGCAGCCAAAACGCGATCGGCGCTAGCCTAAAGTCATTTGTTCTCTTCCTGCCGGGCCCGCTGATGACGACTTCCGTTTCGCTCTTACGGCCGTTTTAGAGCCTTAAAAGGGTAGGAAGCCACGTGACTCACAACCGTTACCATCGGCATATGACGTCGTGATCGGATGATGCTCGGTATCGATTCGTTAAGCCCCCGCATTCTTGCACGAAGTTAAGTGTTGATAATTTCCGTTAAGCCAATTAACCCATATCATATCTTCGACAGACATATTTTCCACCTTTATTATGGCGAGTTAAAAGACATGTCAAAATGATCCCCATGATAAACAAAAGCTAAATTCAGAAAAAAATTATTTGCTAACAATCATCTCAACCATCTCCCTTTTCAACATATTCCCCACAACTGAGGATAGGATGTCTACCCCCACTTCATGCTGTTTGAGTACAAGACAGTCTGCATAATTTACATTGTTGATTAGATTCCTGAAAAAACAAACTGAAACACACCTTCCTAGGGCAGGTTTAAAAACATTTGAATTCATCCTGCTGGTCATTTGACAGCTAAGACGTAGAACCATTCTTATAGAAACCAAATGACTCTTCAAAACTCACTTTTATCAAAATATTCACCATCATCACACACCCACACACTAGTCTAAAGCATCAGCTTTTCCAATCTTAACCCTTGAGTAGCAGGTCAATGACTCTCTATTAGATGATACAGACAAGAAAGCAGCTGAAACTTCAGACAGCCACATTGCATGAATCTTTTAGATGTAAACAGCTCAAAAGACTGATCAAATCATCAGAGCTGTGATCCCTTTAGTCCAAACAAGGAATGGAAGGCTCTACTTAACACAGCCAGTTTGGAGTTTGAATCTACAGAAAGTAATTATGATACATTTGTTTGACCAGCCAAAACACGTCAGAAAAAGCTCTGTCTGTGATCCCTTTAGTCCAAACAAGGAATGGAAGGCTCTACTTAACGCAGCCAGTTTGGAGTTTGAATCTACAGAAAGTAATTATGATACATTTGTTTGACCAGCCAAAACACATCAGAAAAAGCTCTGTCTTTCTTCCCTCTTCAGAACTATGGTACATCCTAAAACATTTAACAAAGTCAGCCTGTGTACCAAACATTAAAACATATACATAAATGACAGTAACTAATAAAACAAAACAAAGCCCCTTTCTCAGAAACACTTTAATTCACATTTTCTACAACATTTATTTATGACTGTTGTTGCTGTGCTGTCTGCTGTTCTGCTGGCATGGAACGAATGATGTCTGAGTCACCAGGATCAGTGATGCTGAGGACTGAAACACGGAAGTACTTGCCACAGGCTGTACCAAGTTCGATGTTGTTACCAGTGTAGTGATGGACTCCAGTCTTGGCCAACATGGCATAGTATTCAATCTCACTTTTCCTGTACAAAAATACAAAATATTTCTAGGTTTTAATTTTTCATGGTTTATGCAGAGGATATGACATGGCTGCATGTAGACACAAATATTATCTTAATGATGCTGTTAAAGATACCTCTCACTAGTTTGCTTTGCTCACTTGCGAGAGAGATTATTATCTCAATATTATTAAATCAAGGACAATTTTCCAACACACTTTTCAATAACTGCATGCAGAGATCACCTGCACATGGACTTACTTCACGGAAAACCTAATTTAACTTCTGACATAAAAGGCAAGTTCTTATCACAAAGGCATAGCTTTGTGTTTCTGTTACCACTGATCAATATAGACATAAAACACCTTAACCCTTTCCATCCTTACATCAGTATGCATATTCTCCATACTGTTCTCTATACTTTCCTACAGTTCTGAAAAGGAGAACTTTTACAACAATCAAGGGCTTCTTTAGTTAGTGACCAGGTCCTTTATTCTCATGACCAAAATGTGTTATTCAGGGGTGACATTATGAGGAGAAATTAAGTGCTAGTCACTCTGAGGGATCAAAGGGTTAACTGTTAACAAATGTGGATGGAAACCTTCTATTTGCAAGTGAAAGTGCTCTTTTCAAATATATTCAGCAGAAAGTCATAAGCTTCCTTGAAAACAGAGATACATCATTAAGTCGATCAATTTTCATTACAACCCTTTCACCCCAAAAAGTTACCAGGATCTAATTTTTAATACAGTATCACTATTAAATCACATATAAAGCAAACTGGTTATACAATGTACTCAGTTTAATGAGACTTGACATTTAAATGTCTTACCTAAGCTGAGGTGTGTTATTTGAGATGATAACAAGCTTAGCCTTGCCCTGTCGCAGTGTTTTAAGAGTAGACTTGTATCCTAAAGTGAACTTTCCACTTTTCATCACAAGTGCCAGACGAGAGTTGATACTCTCCATTGCCTTTTTCTGGAGGAGGAAACATGTTTGAGATTAACTTCTCTCTACAAGCTTTGGTAAGCAAGTAAGGAACACAGGAATTAATGTAAGTGACACACAATGGACAAAAGCCAAGACGATATACAGTACATCAGCCTTAGAGCTGTTCTCAGTTGAAAAACCAAAACCAGAGTTATCAGCCAATCCATGCTATGGTCGATATCATTGTTAGCCAGTGAAAACTCTAGGTAAAAACACACCAGCTGCATTAAACACGGAGAAATGAAAGTGACCAAATCACGAACAAGTTTTGAAGCTGATTGGTTGAGAGGGTCACACAAGTTTTCTGGACCAATCACAGAGCACATTTATCACAACTAAAGCACTTGTGGATCACTTTTGACAACCAATTAAAAGCTGCTCAAAAATTTATTTCAGTAATTTGTAAAGAAAATTTGGCAGGCATTTAATGTTGAAGATTTTATGAATTTAAGAATACAAACTTCACTTTTTCACTGTCAACAAATAAATTCAACTGATGACATGACAGTCTGGTCTATACAGCCTGCTCACTGGCTTGTTGCATGCAACTTTCTTGAGCAAGATCGCAGTATAACACCAAACTTCATTGTTCACACAGTTGTTTGATATAAGAAAACCACAGCAAAAATGATAGATTACCCTTGGGTCTGCACTTCTGTTTTAGAATAGTGTGATTCATATAAAACTGTAGCTACAACATACTGAAGGGAATTTTATAAACTTTAAGTTGCTTTAACACTGATAATGTCACTTAGAACAGTTTTTTTTAAACTCTGCCATACAGTTCTTAACACCTTTACTTTGGAGAATATCTATATCATTATCCAGCCAACAGGTAATTTTTCATTATTCTCATCATTTGTCTGTCTTGATCTGTAAATTGAACTAATTTAAAAGGAAATATGTAATAGCTGGAGGGGAGAATTGACTATCAGATCTTGGGAGTTAAAGGGTTAAGGTATCACTTGGACAACATCATGTATGTCAGTTGTTTAGCCCTTTAACTCCCAGAGGTGATGAACATGTAACTTCTCCCTTTAATATCCATACATTATCCAACAGACAGGTAGTGAGAATACTCAAACTTATCAGGTAGAAGTTGTGATTTTGATCTAACACCAAATTATTGTCACTAAGTTACAATCAAATGTGAAGCAGCTTGAGGGGAGAATTAACGATCAGATATTGGAAGAAAAGGGTTAAGCTGATTACACGGAATGATTGAAACCAAACATTCGTGGAGTGTAAACCTGTCTAGTGATCAGTTTCCATGTAATTTCGAACTCTCTGTATATGTGATGACGATAATAACAATAAATTACAAAGTATAATTATACATAAACCCCTCATCAAGCTACGATGCAAGTTTCCCTTGTTCACACGAGAATTTAGTCAAAAACTCTCGCGTAAACTTTGAGAGTAATTATTGCAAGTTTTACCAATAAATGCACGTGTACAAAAATTCTAACAGACCTGTTTTTTAGAGGACACCATTTTGCTGTTTGACCGCCTATAATCAATAAAAAAAACATTTCAGTGACTGAAATGATAATTAAGGAAACTTATTATCGCATAAAAGACATAATAGACGCTTCAGTTTAGAAAATATACCTAAATAAATTTCGTCTTTCCAATCAGAAATTCGTTCAAGGCAGCCACGATGGTGAAAGAGGCCTGATTTCCCATAATTCCACTGTCAAGTACCCGTATTTATGCCATTGCGCATGTTCAATTTTTTGCGCGAAACTTCAAAATGGCGTCCAGCAGAAGAGCAATTTTGCGTTGGTGACAACAACTTTGAAAGTCTTAAAATGACTCAGTCGATCGTGGTTCAAGGTAATAACTTATTAACACTTTAAAATTTTTTTAATTTTGTGTTTAAATTTTTATTATTTTCCGTTTTTTTTTCAGTGGGACAATGTGGAAACCAAGTGAGTTCGTCAAAGTTGAATTTTTTTTGTTTACTGTATTTAATTATTAGAATCGTGTGAGAGAATTCTTCTTCTAGTATGATCCCATTATCTGAAAAATTTTTGAAATATATTTATGAAAATTTCTGTGTTATTAACCATTGCATGTGCTTTTTTTGTATTTTTTTCCGGTTTTTGTACGTTGTAGACTGCAATTTCTAATTTTTTACCCATTTCAAATTTGTTGAACTATTTGGCATACATTTTATCTGCTCTTTTAAGGCTTCGACCTTGTAATTGTAATCTTTTAAGGATATTTTATGCCCCTTGCCTTGATTAGCTAGAGGTAATGAACTTGAAACTTGAATTTGTTTGTTTGTTTTTGTGTTTTTATTGTTTCAGGTTTTTTTTGTTTCATTTTTTGTCCTTATTAATTAAAACAAGTGAAATTCAATGAATATCTATGTCATTATCCTTATTTAACCCCCTCTCTAACTAGATTGGTTGCCGATTCTGGGATTTGGCTTTGAGAGAACATGCCAGCACAAATAAGGTACACTGCAATTTTTACAGAAGTCAAAAACCATATTAACAGTTCAATGCTAATTATCATTTAAATACTGGCTGTTTTTGTTTCTGTTCTAGAATGGATTATTTGACGAATCCCTTAACAGTTTCTTTCGTAATGTTGATACAAGGTATGCCAAGCCAAATGTGTTTTGTTTATGTCACAAAGGAAAAAGCATGAATTCAAAGAGTTACTGTAATTGTTTCAGCTAGTATTTTTTGCATTTTTTAGATACAAAAATCCAGTTGATATTCCATTGGGAAATGCAAAGCAGAAGATAAAATCATTAAAAGCAAGGGTATGTAATTATGATAAGCCAGTGTACATCACCTGATACACTTCTATTGAATATTATAGTAAAGATCTTCCCTGTTGGTTTCAAATTTCAGTAGTGTTGTTTAACCAGAGGCTAACTGATCCAATACCAAATTATCTGTACCAGTATCATAAGAATTGTATGAGAGACAGTAAGGAGAATTACTAAAAAGATCTTGAGAGTGAAAGGGTCAATGGTACTTGACTTCTTCATGCCTTTGTGTCATTATAGTTGTAATTTTGAACTTCCAAGGTGTATTGTCGTATAAATCTGTAATTTCATTTTGTCAAGCTCCTTCCCAGAATTTATCTTTCAGGCCTTCTTGGAGCACTTGGCTAAGAATTTGTGAAATAACTTCCATGTTTTTTTGGCATTAATTAGGCAGTTGTTATCGATATGGAGGAAGGTGTTGTGAATGAGATTCTCAAAGGTCCATTACGTGATGTATTTGACTGTCAACAGTCAATAACTGATGTGTCTGGATCAGGAAATAACTGGTGTGTATATTCTTCTTAATTTTAATCCTTTAACCCCAAGATCTAATTGTGAATCCTCCCCTCTAGCTGCAACACATTTCCTTTTAATTTCATTACTAGGATTTGGTGTTAGATCAAGATAACAATTTCTACCTGATAAGTTTGAATATTCTCATCACCTGTTTGCTGGGTAATGTTTGGATATTAAAGGAAGGAGTTACATGTTAATCACTTCAAGAAATTTTAAGGCTTAATAAGATATTTTTTTCGCATAACTTGAGAGGCACATTTTAAGCAGAAGGTATGTTACACAAATTAAGTATGACACAAGGACAGCTTGACCCTTTACCCTTTACACCCTAACATCAGTATGCATATTCTCCATACTGTTCTCTATACATTTTCTAAGGTGCTGACAAAGAGAATTTGTTTAACAATCTAGAGCTTTTGTACGTGATCATTTCTTTTATTCTAAGCCACTCGTAACCTTAATGTATGATTTAGGTTTGATGCTGTAAGGAGAGATTAGATGCTAGTCACTCTTAGGGGTTAGCAAAAGAAGACTAGTGCCTTGGGGAATAATTAGAGACCAATTTTTTTAAAATTTTTTAACACAGGGCTACAGGATTTATGATGTACGGACAACAATACAGAGAACAGATCAGTGAAGTGATCAGACATGCAGCTGAACTCTGTGACTGCCTACAGTGTTTTTTCCTCATCCATTCCATGGGTGGAGGTAGCCTTTTTTATCCTTTCTCTCCTTAGGTCTGAGTATCAATTCTCTCCACTGTCTGGTAAACATTTCCTATAATTTAAGTTCTGCAAATTTGGTGAGAGCCAAACAGTATCCTGAAACTGAAATTTTCTTTCCTCTCATCACCTAATTTATGGATATTTTGAGAAGAATTTATGTCTTGGTAACTACAGGAAATAAAACCATTAAAAGTTTAGCCTTTGCATTTGTACTGGACTGTCTTATCTAATTTTTGTAAATATTTTTTGGATCAAAGGTAAATAGAAAAGGGGTTAAAACTTATCTGCAAAAGCAGATGATGTGTTCAGCTTTTTGCTATCTGCCTCCACACCTCTTTCACATAAAACAGCGAACAAAAGAGACAGTAAATCAGTTTGGACATCGTTTTTTGAGGGAACATGGAGCTCCTGAGGGATTGAGGAAGGTCCTAGAGTGGGGAGGGTAAAGAAATAATCGGAACAATTGAACAGACAAAACAAAGTGATTGTTTGACTACTAAATGTTAGCCAACAGCTGACTAGGTGCAGCATGGAGGCCTGGGGCTAATTAAGTTATTCCCTAGGAATATAAACACCATGAAGGGGCCTTTCCTCTAACATGCTTTTGAAAAGGAAAAAAAAAAGGTATCTGCTTTCACATGCCTTTGGTAGGCTGCAGAGGATGAGGTCATTAAGAGAGTATGTGGTAAAAACAAGATACACTAAATTTCCAATCATGTGTGAGAATGATGCTTTTTGCAAGAAGTATTATGATATTTATATAAACAAATGGTGTTTTTGTTGCTAATGATTTTATCCTAATGTCAAGGTACTGGTTCAGGATTGGGTACATCAGTGTTAAACCTCCTCGCCGATGAATATCCAGATGTGTATCGCTTCACTACAGCTGTGTTCCCATCAGCTGATGATGATGTTATCACATCACCATATAACAGGTAAACTACACTACACTTCTTGTCAATTACAGTGTATGCAATATTATTTACTGACCAGTTGTAGTTTATCTTCACATCAGCATCTTTCTCAAATGATAAAGAGGTCATGGTTTTTTAGCCAGTAAATAATCAGGATTTTATCAACCCTTTGACTCTTATGAGTGAACAAGATGGAATTTTTCCCTACAATAAAAATACATAATCAAGCAGACAAGGAAATTTGAGAACATAGAAAAATATCAGTTAGGGGATAATTAGTTAACCAAATTCTCCCAACTAACATCTTGAGAATTGTATGGCAGATAGTTAGGAGAATTGCTAAAGAGATCTTGGGATTGAAATGTTTTACTCTCACTGGCTGATCATTTTGTCATTTTCTTTTTCCCTTTTCAGCATCCTTGCCATGCATCAGCTAACTGAGTTTGCAGACTGTGTTCTTCCAATAGAAAACCAGGTAGGCATGATAATAAACTAGTCTTTTACATTTACTTACTAGATATAATTTTTTTTCCTGAATTGAGCTTTTGTTGCCGCTGTAATTTTCCCAGATAAACATAAATTTTTGTGTGGGATAGATAAAGATACTCTGTAAAGAAGTATTAACTCAAAAAAAGATACAATTTGATTTTTCATGAGCATTAGACAAAGAAAAACTGTGAGTCACCCATGAGGTATTGAAACCCAGATCGTCAGATTCTCTGCTCTGATCCTCTATCGCTGGGTGAAAGTGAAGAACAGTTCCCAAAAGATACTGTTGGCCAACTGCCGGTCGACTGTCAACCAATGGTTGGCTGGCAGTCAGCTGACAGATGGCCAACAGTCGGCCAACAGTTGGCTGATGGTCGGCCAAGAATTGGTTAGTGAAACAGGGGTGAAACAATTACTATGGTCGCGTTATCATGTTTCATAATTTAAGACAATGATTGACATCTCTCCTTTGTCTTTGGAGTGTGAGTAAAACCCCTTCATCCCTCAAGAGTGGCTAGCATCTAATTTCTCCTTACAATATCGTCCCTGAATCAAACATTAAGCTCATGAGGATAGAGGAGATGATCACAAACTCAAGGACCTCTTAATAGTCAGCCAAATTCTCTTTGTAAGTAACATAGGGAATGAACAGAGAACAGTATGGAGAACTTGTATACTGATGTTAGGGTGTAAACAGTTAAAACTGAAGGCGGAAGGACAAAAAATCCACTGACTAGACCCAAGTACAACACCTTTCATGTCCAAATTTTTCCAGCCTCTAGTTGTACAACGACCATATCATTTTCTCACTTTCTTTCCTCTCAGCATATGCTTCACTGTGGAAGAGAAAACATTGGGTGATTAATTTAGTTTATAATTATTTTCTTTGAAAAGGCTTTGGTGGACATTTGCAATAAAGTTACAAGTGCCCTTCCACCATCCAAGACTGGTAAGAAGGTGTTCTCTTCAAGCAGCCAATCACGTGTTAAAGCCAGCAGTGCTGTCACATCAGGTGAAGGTGGTGTTGACCAAAGACCAGAGAAGCCATTTGACAACATGAACAACATTGCTGCAAACCTTATACTGAACATGACAAGCTCTGCTAGATTTGAAGGCTCCCTAAATGTTGATTTGAATGAAATCACCATGAATTTAGTGCCATTTCCCAAGATCCATTACCTGGTCTCCAGCCAGACACCACTGTACAGCCTCACTGATGTAAATCTTCCACCTCGACGACTTGATCAAATGTTCACAGACGCTTTCTCAAAAGATCACCAACTCATCAAAGCTGATCCTAAACACAGCTTGTACTTGGCATGTGCTTTGATGCTCAGAGGAAATGTTGAAATTTCTGATATTAGAAGGAACATTGAAAGACTCAAACCTTCATTAAATTTTATTCACTGGAATCAGGAAGGATGGAAGACTGGACTGTGCTCTGTTCCCCCTGTAGGTCATCCATACTCACTGTTAGCTCTGTCTAACAATACATGCATCAGGCACACTTTTCAGGACCTCAAGGATCGCTTCATGAAGCTCTACAAACGTAAAGCTCACGTCCATCATTACACTCATGTTGATGGCATGGAAGTGTCACAATTTGATACTAGTTTAGACTCACTCAACTCTCTGATAAGTGAGTATGAGACCCTTGAAGCACAGATGGGAAGAGTTGTTGATGATATCCAACGCTTAACTATTGCCTGAAGGAGAGTTTGGTTGAATTTTGAGAAGATTCTTGGAGAATTTCATCCCAGAAGATTGATATACTGGAAGGCATTCCACCAAAAATAACTGGTTTTTCTACATTTGAATTTCCAGTCTGTAGATAGAGCAGTAATGTTTGTAGTTCTTGGACAGGCATTTGAGACACATTTGATACAGATCTTATTAGTGTTAGAAATGGCAGAATGTATTACACTAATGAGAATTCTTGGTTTTAGTAGATGCAAGGGAATGGAAGAAGAGTAAAACTCTGAGAAAACACAACTGCACCAAAAAGCAACAATATCAGGGGCAAATCTATCAGATTTTAAACAACCCAAGTCCATTTTTTTTAAATGAACAAAACATTGATATCAATACACAAACTCAGTAATAAGACCACAATTTGTTTCTGTTGTATCTTTTTATTTAAACGTAACTCTTGCTGCTGTGACAGTATCTGCTCAGTCAAACAATCCTGGAAGAGAAAGAAGAGCAGGTTAGTTCATCTGATACCAACAAATTAGGAGGAAAACTTCAAAGGGGAAAATTGCTCATGTACCAACATGATACAGTAGTTTTTTCACCACAAATTTAAAAAAAATAATAAATTCTACACCACAAAGCTACTGTATTATCAAATATTTAGGTATTTTACAACTAACTTCTTGAACTTTCATTTTCAATCATTTTAATTTTCCATAATTTTTCATAATTTTCCATGAACGAAACAAATTCCATGACTGTCAGAGGCCTGAAAGAGGATATTATTGAACTGCAGGACCCCTATAGACCCTATTACATTCTTCTAACCAATTATAACCTGATGTAATATTACCAGCATTGATTAGTTATTCAAAAAAGGCTCCCTAAATCTGAGAGTTTAAACTCACCAAATCCCATGTCATCATCTGATTCCTCAGATTCATCTTTCTTCTCTTCCTTCTTTTCTTCTTCCTTAGCCTCATCTCCACCACCAGCAGCAGGAGCACCACCACCTCCTGCAGCAGGGGCAGCAGCCCCTCCTGCACCAGGTGCACCAGCACTCTGGATAAGGCTTTCTAGACTGTGTCCCTCCAAGGCTTTGGCAAACAGTCCTGGCCAGAAGGGTTCTACATCAACTTTGGCAGCCTTAATTAACTTTTCGATCTTCTCTGCCTGTTGAGTAACAATAAGAATATAGTATATTAAAGCAAGAATACATTTCATATCCTAAGATAGCATAATTTTTATCTGTCAAGCAATATTGTACTGATTTCTAGGTTTAAACTGCAGCCAGGGCTTCAAGATTAACTTTCTATAGCAACTCCAGTTGTAAATTTAAACTTTACCATGCAAAATAATAATGCCAGTGCTTCCTCATCATTTTTCTCCTCACAAGTTATATGTGCTAATATAACCCTTTCACTCCAAAAATCTCATAATTAATTCTCCTTACAATTCTCATGATCTTAGTATTGAGAATTTAGTATTGAATCAACTAGTATACCTGAATAGCAGGTAATTTAGCGTTAACAGCTGAGTTGAAGACGTAACTTGGCCACCGTTAAGGGTTAAAAGGCTGACATTTCAAGCAATAGCCCTTCGTCAGAGTGACATACTCTCCCACTGACGCAGTACCACAGTTTCTTAAGAAACTTACCCCCTATATTCAGTATAACTGAATAATCCCCCTAGTAGATATTTTTCATTATTCCAGACACTTTTCTGCTCTACATTATATGGACATAAAGGAGAAATTCTGTCTTGGTCACACGTTGCAGTCAAAGTAGTTTTGTAGAATAAATTATTGTGCTTACCATGTTTATGCTTTAAATATGAAACCAAGAACAACCTTGTACCGAATTATGTCTGAACTGATTAATCATAAAGACTTGGTTTGAATTGATGCATAAATCGATCAAAAACCAGCATTCACGTGGAAACTGGAAACATGTCACAGCATTCTTACATCTGGATTCGAAACTTAATTTTCTAATATACTCACAAACAAGCGGCTCAGAATTAAAAAAATTGGAATCACCCTTTTACGATCATATGTCAGAGGTGTAAGTTCATCACAGCCACTTAAAATTAACAATACTTATCTTATAACAATTCCGCCATTTTGATTATTACGTACCGTGATGGCGATTCCATCATCGTGGAGAATGAGAGCACTATACACGCAAGCAAGTTCTGATGTTGATGCCATCGTTTAGTTTAATTTCTTACGTTACTTTTTTGTCAAAAAATACGGATGTAGGTTGCCTTGATAAAGCGATGGATGCGGATTCAAGGCCTTAGCTCGAGGCGAGAACTCTACAACTTTTGTGACGAGTACGAGAGAAAGAAAGATAAGTTAACGCGCGCAAAGTATTGTGGGACTTGTGACTACACATGGTTCATCTCTCGCGCACTTTTGCGCGAAATAGCAACTCGGTTATAGTACTGTAGTGAAATTGTAAGATTGTTTGCCTGAATTTTTTTTGATCATACCTTACCTCTTTTTGGTTACACGAAAAGTTAGCTAAGCATCTGAGATATTCTACCATGGCGCCTTCCAAGCGGAATTACGGCGACACGATCGAAGCTTTGAAAGATATCATCAAAGAATCTTTGGAAAATCCCGAGAGAAAGCAAGAATTCGTCGATGAAGGATCTGTAGAGCTTATTATTGGTAAGGAGGATCTTTTACTTAGGGTTAGTAATGGTTTTTTAAAATATGGCTACCAGCTTTTAAATGCGCAACTAGAGTTTTGTTTATATTTTTTTGTATATGCATGCGCGTGTTCAAACAACTTGATAATTGTTCTGGAAGACAAAAGATCAATAAACACAGAACTTTGTGCAAAGCGTAACCTCCGCGTAGTTTACTGCTTGATAAGCAAGGGTTATACTTGGAAATGAACTAGATACAAACTCGGTTTTACGTGTATAAATACGTCTTCTTGGAATGAATGCTAGGATCTTTGAAATTAGCTGTTATTTGGTGGCTGCGGTTGTCCTATGAAGGTCAAAGGTTTTCCGAAGGTCTGAATTTTATTCAATAGCTCCCTGAGTAGTTGCATGCTTTTGTTGTGCTTGTTGGCTAGCAAGTTAGCAAAATGTAAGGTTTTCGACTGCATAGCTTCGGATTGTGACGTTGCAGGCATCACCTCCCAGAGGGCATATGAGGACATGAAATCCTGCCGATAATCACAGTTGTAAGAGGTCATTAACATGCAACTTCTCCTTACAATATCTATATATCATCTAATAAATACGTTATGCGAATACTCAAACTTACCAGTTTGAAGTTATTATCTTGATCTAACTGCACATCCTCATAACTCATTTACAAGGAAATGTGCAGCAGGTAAAGAGCAGAATAAACAGTCAGATTGTGCGTTGTAGGTTTGTGTGACAAAAGAACCATTCCTTGGAGCCTTGGTGCATACTGTGCAGCTGCCCTCAGAGTTCTTGCTTATGGAAACCCAAAAGTGAAGGCTAAGATTGTGGGACGTGGAGGAATTCCTCCACTGCTGAAGCTTTGTGATCCTGAACTGTCACCTGAAGATACAGGTGCTGTGACATTTAACTAATTACACAGATTCTTTTGCATTTTTGTCTGACTAACTATTACTGGAAGATCATTGAGAATTCTAAGTCAAGGAGGGAGGAGAGGGTGGAGGTTTGAAAAGTTATTGTTTAGTGTCATGCAAAGCTAGTGAGGAATTTCTATGGTACCTTGAGGGGGTAGGGTGAGTCCACTCATTGGGAACATGCTTTTTGGTAGACAAGACTTTCTAAAAAATCAAATGACGTGACTTTTAGAGCTGAAATATTTCCCCAGTTTCAAAACTTCAGATTCATGTATATTGACTTAACTGCACATGAAGAGTTTGGAAGAGGTACAGTGGCACAAAAGTTGGTATCCTGAACCACACTCTTTCACTTCCATGACTGACCAAGACAGAATTTCTCCTTACAATACCAATACAATATCGAGCAGACAAGTGATAAGAATATAGAAAAATATCCATAAGGGAATTATAAGTTGATCCAATGCCTTATTCTCTAAACTAATATCATAAGAATTGTACAGCAGACAGAAAGAAGAATTAGTAATGAGATCTAGGTGTGAAAAGGTTAGATTTAAAGATGTAGGTTCTAGTTGGTAACCTGAAATGGATTATCCCATACAGGTCTGCATATCTAATAGCCAGAAGTGATTAGCAGGTAACTTCCCCTACAGTATCCAAACATCATTCAGTAAACAGGCAGTGAGAACACTCAAACTTATCAGGTACAAGATATTAGCTTAGCTGTACACAAAATTCCTGTAACCAATTTACTAGGAAATGTGTAGCAGCAGCATGAGGGGAGAATTAACAATCAGATCTTGGGAGTTAAAAGGGACTTAATCAATCTCAAATAAATTTTGCCTCATAAGTGTGACTCTCTAATCAGGGTTAATTTATATTTTACCAGACACTGCAGAAGATGCATGCTGGAGATTTCTTGCTCATGAGCAGGCTGTTGCAGTGCTTCGTCTTGTCACCTTTCAGAGTAAAACATGTCAAACAGAGGTAGTCAGTGCTGGTGCAATCAAACTTCTTGTCAGAATGTGTGATATATTCAACCCTGAGGGTTTCCATGGCAACTGTTGTCAGCCCCCTTATCGGTCTTCCAGTGATGCAGTGCAACTACTTCATGACTTAACGTACAGAAAGAAACTAGTTGGCCAATTGAAAGAACTGAACAAGGACAATATCAGAGAAAAGGCTGTAAAGTTAATCAAAACTGGTGAGGAAATAAGTTGTGTTTCAGTCAAACCAGGCTGTTCAAACATATCCTTGTAACACAGATTGAATCTGTGGGATGTACCTCCTTCTATGGTAACTGCAGGTCAAAGTACTGTGTATTTTATTCAACCCTTTAACTCGCTGAAGTAATGAAATATGTAACTTCTCCCTATAATATCCATATATTATCCAGCAAACAGGTAATGAGAATACACAAACTTATCAGGTAGAAGTTGTTATCTTGATCTAACACCAAGTTCTTGGAAGCAATGTAAAAGGAAATGGCTGGCAGGCAGAGGTAGAATTAACAATCAGATCTTGGGAGTTAACAGGTTAAGTGTAGAATTATGATTTGCAGGTCTAGTGAGTGGTGTGTTACAAGTCAATAGGATGTACAGCATTGATTTATATGATACCACATTGGACTATCAGGATATAAGAATTACTGACGAGTTGATAAAGAGCCAGTTAATGTGGCCAAGAATGTCACTCGACGAAACTAAAAGTTCAGAGGATAAAGGAAAATATGTCAATGCTAAGGTACAAGTTTGTACATGATTTAGATCATTATGAAGTCTATGTTAAATCTATCTTTTCTTTTGATCTGGTGGTCTGATTGTACAGGTAAGAAGTCATCATCAGAGTTGAGGGACTATTTCCGCTAAGGTTGTGGTTGATCAGTTACTACTATTGACAATGGTCCTTCTCAGGACTTCTCTCTTCTCTTATCTGAACGTGAAATGTTACTCCCCCCTTCCCCCCCCACCCCCCCCCCCGGTTGTGACATCGTTTCTCTCATCCATTACATGTATATTCTTCTAAAGAATTCTTTCAATTGATTTAAAACCAGGCTCTAGTATTTTTTTTCTTTTTTATCTTGAAAGTCAGAACATAACACAGATCAAGCAATTTTTGTCATTTTTCAGGATGCAGATGGGAGATGGGCAGATATTTATGTTACCCAGGTGATTGATGCATGTCACTTTTGGGCTCATGTTGGAGGTAAACCAGTGATTGAAAAGATGGAAGCAGTTAATAGAAAGCTGTTAGCACAGGTAATTCTAAACAGTGACCAGAGGTTCTTGTAATCAGTCAACCACTGAACTGATGAGTGAGTGCGAAGGAATTACTCTTGATAACATTTATACAATATCAAGCAGACAAGTGATAAGATTAAAGAGAAATTTGAATAGGGAGATTATTACTTGATCCAATACCAAATTCTCCAGACTAACCACATAAGAACTGTTTGACAGAAGGTAAGGAGAATTACTAATAAGATCTTGGGAGTGCAAGAGTTTAGAAA